GAAAAACACATGCTTTTCAGAAAGGTTCTTCCTTCTTTTCAACCACTTGAAGTTCAAACATGTTTTTGACCACTGTCAGATGGCACACTGGGCTAGACAGAACCTTTGGGCTGCCCTGTATAGATACTCTTTAAATTCTTCTGTTCTATTAATTGCTCACAAGCAATGTAAGATGCAGACTATTACTAGAGGAAGAGAGACTTCACAAAAGACACATGAATAAAACCACTCAGTGGTACTCTGGTCCTCTCTTTTTTTTCAGATTAGGTCTTGATTTTGCCATTTTCATTGACATGGAGGCACTGGAATTAGTGGGCTTTGAAACATGTATACATCAAATATTTACTCTTTAGGTGCTACAGAATTTAACACGTCATCTCCTAGGCTAGAATCTCAGAACACAGCTGCACATGTACCTATGTCCCCAGAAATATAAATTTCCACACTTGGAAGAAGGAACAGAATGCACATGTTCTCTACCTACTCCAGGCCTCAGAGAGGCTGCACACACCCGGCAGAAATCAGCAAGGTCCCTTGGCAAATCAGAGCACAGTGACGACTGTTTTAACTACCTTTCCCCTTGCAGATTAATCCTGGTCAAAGATGCCAAAACTTTTTCTACAGTTTTACATTATCTGTGTTGTCATCTGCAAAATTAATGTCATATTAAAGAGCAGTAAAGAAATACAGATGCAATTGGAATACTTTACCATTCAGCACTCAGCGTTTCTCTGACATACCTAAACCTGCTAGGAGAGTGCTCTGGACACAAAGGGAAGCCACACAGGCTGAAGCCACATAGGCAGATGGTGCCCCATGATAGACTGTCAAATGTAAATAACTAGTGCCCAATGAAATACATCCTAATGGCAAACATCGATTAATTAGGCTGTATTAGCCATTCCAAAAACAGCTTACCATCTCGTATCTGCTGGCAAAACAAAGACTTAAATCATCTTTCTGGAAACTTTTCCACAGTACCTCCTTTTCTGCTTAAACATCCATTTGACATACTCTTCTCAGCATAAAAGGTTATTAGCATTCTATTTTAGCACCCAAATAATTATATACAGTTGTTTAAAAAACAAACCAACCAACCAAACAAAACTGGTCTTTCACTTCTAGGAATGAGTTCCAGGACCAGGAAACTTACTTGGTAAGGTAGATCACTGAAAACCAGTAATTCTTGATATTCAGGAAAAAAAAAAAAAAAAAAAGCTGAATCTTTTTAAGACAAATGTATTAAAGTAATCTAGCAATTATAACATTTGTTTGTACATACACTTCTATGGAAGACAGTGGGCTGAATCTTCCAGCATCTCAAACAGAAATCATTGCACAGGTGAATTTTTCCATTAGAGAACAGTAATAATAACAGAGTAATCGAGGCCAGCATCAGCTTTACTTAGCACAAGTCACTGCCAAATAAGTCATATTAGCTGTACACTCATATTTGCATTCTAATGTATGATAATATGTGCTAATAGTCTCATTCTAAAGATTAAAAGCCAGAAATACAGAAT